TTTTAATTGATTAATTTATTAATTTAAAATTAATCTTTATAATTTTTTATATAAATTAATTAAAAAATTCCGTTACTTGAAAAGTTTAGAAATGTGATAATAACATTTTGACCCCCATCATGCGTTTCTATTGTGATGGACGAAGTGACAAACCAGTCCAGCCACCACACTTGTCTCGTTGAATTATTACATCATATTATATTTATTCACATGGGCTAAACTGACGGTTTGAATGGTTAAATCAATTAAACCGATCAAACCAAAAATCAGGGTCAAAATAATTTGACCTCTAGGTCGGTTTTCAAAACTTTCTGAAAGAGCAGCATGAAACTTGATCTTTACAGAGTGGCAAGTATCAATATTTTCTCCAGTTGTTCTAACAGCTTCCCATACCCGTTCAAATATTCCTGGACCTAAATCAGGATTTACTCTAGTGATCCATTCAGCATGATTATTCTTGAATTCATACCTATGTTTCAAACAACAGATGTGCTCAAAAAGCAATAATCAAGAATGCCTGACATCTAGCACAATTATGAGAAATGTGAATGTTATTGAAAGTTTTAGGATTATTTGCACCTTTGGAGCAACCTCATTGCACTTGAAAGCACAGCCAGTGATGCTATATTATACAGAGGATCTACATCTCCCACATTCATGAATTTTTGCAAGCTTGGTACTCTATCCTTCACGTAGTCCCCAAGGTTAACATGCTTTACAATATGATCTGCATAGGCAAAACGCTTAAAATGGCAACTGATCTACTACTAAACAAATTGATTCACATTGTCAAAGAATTTGAATGTTAAATATGTGGCAAAATAACAGCATTCATAGTTTGCACAAGACAGAAATTCTTGTTAATGAAAATAAATTTTTATTAAAAGATACAAGATTAAAAAATATGTAATTTTTGGGGCCTTTACACTCCAATTCAGGATTCTTGTATCCATGGCACAAAGGAATTCCACAGGTAAAATTGTATGGATTTATCTGCTACACAGACCACAGGTAGAAAAATCTTACTTACCCCCAAAGAGCTTCTTCACTGATTTGATAAGAACTTCAGTTGTTCGATTGCTTGGGATGCTTGACAAGGAGAAACAATCTTCTGAAATAATAACCTGGATTGGTTTGGTAGGATTCACCATAGGCAAATGCAGCAGGACATGCCCAACACGACTCAAAATTGAAGGATCCCTAGCAAACCATCCTATACGAGAATTAGATGTCAAAAAGAATGTCTCACCAAATTAAAGAACTCTATGAGATGAATGACTATCCTTCAGAATCAATGATTCAGAAAGTATCAGATATTATCAGAGAAGTCATAGTCTCGTAGTTAAATGAAAGGCTGATGCCTCAGAGATGACTGCTTTGAAAATTTGAGGCCCTCAACCCCAATAATATCATTAATATCAGAAAAAATATGCAAGATCAGTTCAATCCACCAACTAAGAGAAATTAGTCCTCACCTACTGTATCAAAACTCTGTGCCATAGGAGTAACTCCAGCAGTAGGGACAACATCATGTTAAGGCCGAAACCCAAGAATTCCACAATAAGATGCAGGGACTCTGACACTTCCTCCAGTATCAGTTCCTTTGAAGACACAAACAATTCACTTCAACAAATTTAAAGAAAAACCAAGAAACCCAAGATCCCTTCCAAGAAGTAAAAAAGCTCACCTAGGGAGAAATCTACAAGCTTTGCTGCTACTGCAACAGCAGATCCACTTGAAGATCCCCCAGGTACCCTATCTGGTGCACATGGATTCCTGGGTGTCCCATAATGTTTATTTTCTCCATTTATACTGAAAACAAAAAAGTTCCCATTTTTCAACAAAGTATTACAACTACAATCATATAACAGACATTCAAACAATGATAAAGAAATTGTGACCTGTAAGCCATCTCATCCATGACAGTTTTGCCAACGCAAGTGGCACCTCCACCTAAGACAGCCAACACAGCCGGTGCCGTTGAAGTGGCGGCCGGATGGGTCCTTGCCCAGTCAGGGTTTCCAAACCCAGTCACGTATCCATTCACATCAAATCTTTTACATGCTAAAAATTTGGAGAGAATCAATAGTAACAAAGAAGAAAACAGATAATTTCTCCATGAAAGCTCCGAGTTCGGAGCTTGATGGGAAAAAGAAACTCACATGCCTTTAATAGCAAAAGTGAGGCCACTTAGGAACAGTTGATGGGATGAAGAGGTTGGAAGAAGAGTAAATTTCTCCATTTAAGCTCCAAAATCCGAGTTTTTAGCCTTGGCTTCCATTTCTTCTTCTGGGTTACGAAGAGTACAGTTTCAGTGTAATTTTTTTTGGTAATAAACTTTGGATATTCAGTAATTATATTGTGCTTCAACTAAGTCACATCGGATACCATTTGGGAAAGTTTGCTCAGTACCTGTTTTCCATTTACAAAACTTGAATTAAGGTTTGATATGTCAGCGTCATTCCGTGAAATTAAAATTTTCATTTTTGGTGAAATCACCGTTTTATCTCTTTCTTTGTTATTATGAACGGTTTGATTGTTACGTTTAGGAAGGAGAAAGATGACATCTCATGATTGGATGTGTCCAATCCTCAGCCGTTATGAAAGATTGTCGGAAATGAATGCTGGGCAGAGCTGCAGGGGAGCCTAGAAGGATAACTATATATAGACCTAATTCTTTTTTGGCTTAATTCAATTTTTAGTTTATTAATTATTAGTTTAATTCTATTTTAATCTATCAAGTTTATTTTTATAAATTTTGGAGAATATTTCAAAATAATTTATCGTATAAAATTTTGTTAGATTTAACAAAAAAAGTAATCTTTTAAGTTTTAAAAAAATGATACTATGATTTTAATAAAATATAAAGACTGAAGAAATATTTTATAAAGATAAATTAGTTAGAATTTGTAATAAACTTAAGCAACTATCTCAATTCAAATAGAAAAACTTAAAAAGTTTAGAACGAGAAGTTTTAATAGTAAATCTATTATATATGACAGACTGCATGACAGAATATATGCAGTTTGCTTCGTAAAATTATCTAAATGTTCATGAAAAAATAATAAAAAATTTAAATTAAGGGTATTTAAATAATTTTATAGGATAGATTGCATACAGTCCGTTTTATAAAACATTTTTCTGAAAAACATATTTAGCAAGATAAGAATAAAAATTATTTTTGCATGAATATAAATTTAAGGATTAAAAGATCAAAAGAAATATAGTTAAAGACTAGATATTTTCTTACTCTCAAAGGATTTCTGTTAAAGATAACAGATATTTTTGTTAAAAATAACGGATTTGATGAAATTAAAATGAATATGGAAGATAATAAATAAGATTGAAAGAATTCAAATATAATAAATGAAACTGAAAAGAATACGAAAGTTAATAAATGATTTGTTAAATTAATCTAATTTTTTTTAATTAAGTAGAATAAATATATTTTTTATAATAA